ATAGGACTTTGTCCCAACTCTTGCTAAATTAAAGACTGACACATTTTAATTGGAGCATTTACAAATAAGTTTCAAGTATACAATGATTTTGTCAAAAGTCAAATTGCTCTATTCAGCTTTTGTGGATCGTCCTGAATTATACAAAAAAACCAACTGAAGTTAGGACAAAAATTATTGCTCGGTTTGTGTTAGCCCAAGGGAATTGAACTCAGTGTGCGGTTGATACCAATTTCTCATTTCACTTGAACTGCAAAAATAATATGCAATCGTTAATTTCATCGCTATCGCCACCTTATTGCTGCTTGCTAATATTCGGCCACATAAAGCTTTTCTAGTTCTATTTCTTCTGTTTTCAAAGACTAAGTCGTTAGGCTTTTAAATCAGTGAATGCTTGTGAACATGGAGATATCTTAGACTGGTTGGAAATTAGTGGCTATACACTACCATTATCTTCAGTATCATCCATTGATTTTTTCTGCTTTTCGCACTTTTTCACATCAAATAACCATAAATTATTAAGTAATTCTAGCAGAGCACCCCTTGTTGCTTATATGCAAGTAGCCTCTACCATCCACAACTTTTATCCTACGATACTCTCCGTTTAAATGTCTTTACACTTTCCTATATTTTAATCTACCTATTGATTACTACCTATCCACATCCCTTCGTCATCTCCTTTACTGTACTTAGGAGTCATTTTGAATAAAACGAAAGTCTTACTAAAAAAAAGCAAGTTGTTCACTAGTGATTACTCCCTACTGAATATATTTCCGTAGATCTTGAAGCTTAGTTAAAAGCTTCCATAGATCTACTTTTTTTCCTTTCCGAAGACTTTTGCTCAATTTTTCTATTCAGTCATCTTTCTCTTTTTTGTTTCAAATTTCACATCACTTTTATTTTTCCATTAAGTGGAGAAAACCAACTCGATATATGTTACACATATATGAATAGTGCCTATTCGTTCTTTATGAAACGAATTTTTAGACAGGCTAAGTATACCATTACACTTTTGAACAAAAAACTATGTTCTGACGCATATTTTTTAAATGTTAACTGAGGTTGTATCCAAAAAAATACATAATATTGCTTGCGTTTTACTTTGAACTTTCTAGCTTTCGGTTAACTAATTAATGTAAACTATTTCCGAATGTAATTACTAACTCATGGAAACCTTCTATTAACTAGGAAATTAGGAAGAATAAGAAGCAAATTTAGGATTCGTCGGAATCAGACCTGAGATTCTGTTGATTTAGAATCCGCGATGATGTTTGAATCAATGATGGCTGCGATTTGAAATTGCTAGCTGCTGTTTGTGAATTTCCAATAAATCGAAATAATGAATTGTAGACTTTTTTCCGTTTGTTTTATGAACACAGTGATTCTGCAGTTAATAAGTAGCGCTATCTAGAAGTTCACTCTAGTGTCTTTATGAAACGATATCTTGAATTCCTTCAATTCTGTTTTAAAGAATAAAGGCTTTTTCCGACGACCTATTTCTTTACAAATATATATAAATTTCAATTTCGTTTCCTGTCAGTTTGTTTCATTTTTGCTACCCAATAGTGCTATGTTTGTTGCACATTGCTGATACAATTGTGATAATATGGAATTTGAACTTGTACTTCTGAGGTTGTGATACAAAATCTGAAAATTTGTTTACTTCCTGTCTTACTAAGCAAACTTCAACTTATGCGTTATTCGTTGTATTCATTACGCTACTTTTTTTCCGCACCACTCATTTTACTTGCAGCTTGAATTGCTATACTTTAAATTTTTTGAAAACAATTGGCCTCTGAAAAAAGGAAATATCATTACAAATAAGACTTCAGTTCTGAGAATTAGCAAACTATTGATACTATGATATTAGTAGATAGAAGTAATCATAATATCCTCACTCACTGATAACCTTTATCTATCCCGATACGCGGAATAGATAAAGGTTATCAGTGATGAACCTGGACGCTTACAAATTACAAATTCATCAAAATTACAAATTAGACCGAGTTACTATTTCTTATGGCTTATGGCTGCTGTATGATTTCTTTCTTTATGAAACATTGATTGTACATGATTTCATCTATGATTGCCTTTATGGTATTGAAATTTAAAAGCGTCATTTTCAACTAATCATTTCTCAACTCAAGATGTAAATACAATTTGTCACTGAAGCCTCGAACTCATTTAAGAGAGGAATTCAAAAATATCTAAAAAAGACGATGTGAGCAGAAGATAAGATGAAGTTTCACTGATGAATTCATAACGGTTAACAAATTTTCCCCATATATCAAACTTTGCATCCTTTCCTTCGTTCATTGCTAGGCAAATCTTTTATGCGTTGTATTTGATGAAGGATTTAAAATTATGTAGAAGGGAAATTAGAAAGTAATCAAAAGGTATTTTGTAAGTTGTCGACTCTAAAAAAGTTGCACTCGTTAGAGAAATCTCTTTCAACTGTGAAAATAGCTGTTAACTTTCGAAAATTTCTTTATACTATCGCTCAACTTTTGTTTGCGAACAATAACCGTTCATAAAGCGAACAGCAATCTCTTTTTTGTTTTAGATACTTTCGAGTATGTACTCCGCAGTTTATTAATTAATTCCAATTTTTAGTAAAGAATTTCTTGGAGAGAATCAAAACATGAGTTTGGAAAGGTATATTGATGATCGCCGATATTTTTGAATGAACTGGTCGAAAGATTAAAATATTCCCACATAAGAACTATAATTTCAAATTTGACTGCTCTAATTTCGTCGTTTATTCACCAGGCCACGTTATTTTCAAAATTTGTAGTATTGATTGCAACATTTCGAATGTTTGTTGAATTGATAAGTTGGCAGATTGAATTCATCTCATATTTACTTGATAAGCTTAACATTAAATTAAACTCTGAGAATCTGGAGAGGAGAGTGTATGCTGCTTTCCAAATGTACAATTCATCTCATAAAACGTTTCATTGCAATTATAAACCTTAATTACCTCTTTTCGACCACGTAATCCTCTTATAAATACAGAAGTTTCAAGCGTGCGTATAAGTATTGGAGTGAAGAAAGCATTCATTTAAATGTCATTACTGATCTATAATCCACTGATGAACTCTTTGTTCAAATACTAGCAAACAGAATGAGATTTATTTCAACTCCACGTGATTTTTGACAAGCTTATCGTCTCTAAATAGACTACTTTAATTTTATCTAAATTACTTCGTCTCTTTTGACTCCGCTTCTATACTACCAATATTAAATAATGTTGTATAGTTGTTATTACAACAACCATACAGCATTATTTAATACTGGATTTGAACTTCTTGGTCATCACAACCGCAGCTATTTTTGATTATTTTATTTTTTTTTCTTTTTTTTTTTGCTGAAATGATGTCCTTAAGCAAAGTGTCGGAAGATAGAACAATGAAAAGTTTATCCCCCTCCAGTGAAACTTTTATTAGGTTTGCTGAACACGATACAGAACTCATCAGTATAATGTTTCTGACACAGAACGCTATCAAGGAAGTGAAGAATAGTATCTCCTCCACGTTCCATTCAAGTAATGATAAAGACAAAGGTTACAAACAAAACAGAATTATAATTTTAGCATTTGTGACGACCTTGATGTTCTCTAAGTTGTCATAAAATTACTCAATTAAATAGTGGGAAATAACAAGAACATCAACTTTTTGGATGGAGAAGAAACATCAAGAGTCCCTCAAAAATAAATTAATTTTCTCTCTCGAATTCGAAAGACAAAACTGTGTGTTTTCGAAAATGCTACAAATCCTGGTTGTTCGAATTTTTCTGTAAGACTGTCGTTGATACTTCTGGTATTTTTTAAATAAACTTTTTCAAGTAAAATGAAAGTGTGGAAGAGCACTATGGTTTATTTCCAAATGATCCGATTTGTTTTTTCTGCGCAATAACCAGTTATACTGAATAAAACTTCACTTTAATATGATCGCACCACTCCGAAGCCTGGGGATTCCTGCTCTGTGCATTAATCTCGCTTTTAGACATTACGTTCAAAAAAAAAAAGAAGCGTATCTTCATTTTCGAGAAAAACATTTTTGATAAAGAGGAAGTACTTTTTCCATATTAGAAAGTATGACACTAATAACTGTTCACTGAGCTTGATATCTCGTTATCATTCCACTGATATGATATGGTAGAATCCATTGATCTTGACACTTAACCTGTCTTATACAGCTGGCATGTGCTATTGAACTAATAAAATGTCTGCCTATTCTCATAGACAAAAGAGGAGATATGCAAGTTATTCAGAAGCTATAAATATGGAAAAGTGAGACACAATTTGCACATCGTCTGACTACTGGCCTATTGCAAAAAGTTTGCAGATTAAGGACAAGCTGTATCCATTTAACTAGCATTTCAGTTGACATCTTTTCATTACGTCTCACCACCAACTTGTTTTAAATTAGAGGAAGCAGAGAAGTACGTCAATTAGCCTGACTAAATTTAATGATAAGTGTGAATTCTATTCATTACTCATACATTACGCCTTTTTTACACGAATTAGTTGACATGTTCCGATGCATAAAGTCTACGCTTCATTCTATTTAAAACACGATAATAGAAATGACGAACATTGTGTATCTTTGTTCTAAGTTTTGTTCGCAAGAATTTTAGCAAGTGGCCATTTTAAGTACTATATGCCCGTGTTTTTTTCCAAGGAGATTTTGGAACTCTCAAACTTTACTGAAGTTGCGAGATTTTGCGCTTTTGTCAAATAAAAACACACAATATGGACAGAGTCGTTGACTCCTGTCATCCTAGAGGGGAACACTCGAAATGAAGGACGGATATTGTTGGCAGGTCTTTTGTCATTTATAATGGAGCAACTTGGCAATAGCAGCGACTTTTTAACTCCTATATTCTAAACATTGAATGTCCAGAAAAAACAAAAATCGGTCAGTAATAGTGAGACCGATAAGACTGGCAGTGAAACCTAACCGAGGACTGAGGCCGATAATACAACTGAAACATGTGGAAGCATGCCGAACAAGGAACATCCAGTAGGAACCACTTGTGAAAATCCGAAAGTACGTCCAAGGTACTCCTTGCTGGCTAAGTATATGAGTAAGTAAGCTACCATGAATATGCATAAATGTGGAAGTATTTTGACATGAGTGCGTATTTCGTCATGCGTCAGCGTGAAACATTCTCTGTGACGGGCCGAAGATAAGGAACGAGTTCACTCGGAGGCTTCAACCAGTTACTTAGTGCATATTATATTATATATAGTGGTGGTTAAAACAAGCTCAACTTTAGCACCAGCTAACCGGCTTATTTCAACTCTGCAGAGAGGAAAAGTTCGCCGGATCTAACCGGTCTCCTTCCTCTTCCCTCCGTGGTCCATCAGAGCATAGTCAGTTGGTACTCACCTCCATGATGTTACTGCCAGCTGTCTGTCAGACATCGCTGCAATTCGTCATCAAGCAGTTTCTTTCGCACTCTATTGAATATGGCGAGCGGGGAGGATAACGGACGCACATACATACACAAACACGCTTACACACACACATACATACATACACACATACATACATACACACATACATACATACACACATACATACATACACATACATACATACGCATACAAAACACACACACACATACACATACAGATGCACATATATTTTTTCTTCAATGCTAAATTTTCATTTTCGTCCTAATGATTTTTATGCGTAACAGCGAGAACGACGAAGGGAAGGGCAAAGTAAGATAAGGTAGAGTAAGGTAAAGTAGAGTAAGGTAGTGTAGAATAAAATAGGGTAGGGCAGGATAGGTAGGGTAAAAGCCGTTGTGGTGGTCCCTTCGTTTTTGCTGACAGATAGACAACTGCTCAAACATGCGACAGCAATTTTCTACAACACCAGCAGTAGTAGCTGCATCGAAGCACCCTTCCTCCCGTTTCTAATAATAGATCCATTGAGGGACAGACGGTGATCAGTAGAGTAGGGGTATGGTATTATTGTGTAATCAGAGGAGATAGAAGGAAGGTAGAGTAAGAGAGAAATGGGAACGTACTGGTAATAATGATGGTAGTGGTGGTAGATGATAAGGGTGATGATGATGATGATGGCTATGATAACAATAATGATAGTGAAGTAGGATGGAGCAGTGCTTCATGTGGTAGCCGGAGTATCTCCTTTCTCGACGGAAGCCTTGGCTCTTGAGCGGGGGGAGGGGGAGCAATTTATCTCCACTCTCTAGTCATCTTCTGATTTTAGTTGTACTTACCTATCCGTTTCTTGATTTCTTTGGTGAATTGCAAGAAAAGTAGATCCCCTTTTTCCTTCACATCCTGAGAGGATGCTTACAAATGTTTTTCTACATTACCTTCCCATCCATTCATCAGCAACAAATTTCGATTCCGTACGTCTCAATAATGGACGTTATTAGTATGTCAGTTGAAGTGAATATCCTAAAACGTTCGATTTATTTGCTGATCGCTTGATGAAAACGTCCAAATAATTCATTTTACTTGATCCATAAAACAGGAATCTAATTTAAGCAAGTGCTATGCTACCAAATTACTCATCCTCATGGTTTCATTGATATCTTTCCCTTCTTCGTTTCAAGTGGGGACTGATTCATCTCTTTCAAGTATTGCAACCATCTCTGATGCCATTTTCGTAAATTGGATTTATGTTATAATTGACATTCACTTTTGTGCAGTTTCTATTTCACAAATGATGTGATCTTTGTGGTCATGTAAAGGATAAGGAATATTGCGGCATTGTGTGACGAATTCTTAAAAACTTCATGCTTTACTAAGAAACTCTGTCGACTGCTGCCTAGATAACTCTGGACGGTCGAAAGAGCAATAGTCTAACCCAAGGGGACTAAATGGATTGGTTTAAGACTGGCATGATGAGCCCTTCTCAGAAGATACATCTGCTGCCATGCTGGCTTGGGCTCAACAAAAAAATTGTTTATCGGTGCAGAGCAAACGGAGGATTTGCAGCTTCATTTCCACACTGTTCATCTTATTGCATTTTAAGGTCAGGGCATTGGTAGGAAATCATCCAATTACTGTCTAATATGACTGCTGAACTTTTCAACTTGCAAATATTCCACAGTCGATCGTTGATAAACGCTTTAATTAGCGTTGGGAATGAAGCTTTTTATGTATATCATTTATATATGGATTATGAAGGAAATGGTAGTAAATTGCGGGCGACGTTTTCTATTTTACAGTTAAAAAAAAGGCTTTGGACGTAAAAAATGTTCGTTTTTCATTTCTGTTTCAAAAGTTATATATATATATATATATATATATAATCTATGTACATACATTTTTTGTATAAATACCTACATATTTATAATCGAGAATATGAACAATAACGATGTTTGGCGGTTATGGACGGCGAAAAAAGATTGATAAGAGGGCTTAGATCTTGAACGATTGTTTACTTGGCTGCTCTGATAACAACTTTTGTAGAAACATCGTTATTAATCTTCATTTATATGTGGATTATGAAATTTATATTTTAAATGACTGACATAACAAATTGTCTTTTGGTTTAAACTACTCGTTCTAGCATTGCCTGTTTTTATCTTTTGCAAGCTGATATGTAAACTGCCCAAAATATCCTCTCTGTCATAGTCCATCTTGAGAGGTTCAAACCTTTGGCATATTTCCACTTCTTTTATCTTCCGTTCAATATCTTTTGACTTTCATCATTTTTCTTCGTCTCAAAATTGCTTTGAAGGGTGTGAAAATTCAATTTTTGGGCTCAAAAGCACAGAATGAGCAATGATGTTGCAAGACTAGAGCAAAATAGCAAGTAAAATTACATGTCTTGTCGCCTCATTCTGATGACGGAGATTTTCGTGAGAAGCGGAATTGTCATTTACATATTAAAACTGGTAACAGTATTTTTACATTTGCGATACACTAAAGCTGCGAATTATCTTAGGAGTTCGAAAATATTCTAAGAAATTCAGGTTCTTAATTGAAACTTTCAAGCACATATATTATCACAGTCCAACCAAATATGTTTAAAAATGCTGTGAACGTGACGTATTCAAAAGTTAAGTTTTCCGTCGTCCATCGTTTGACGGATATCACATATTATCGAGCATTCATATTATCGAGCGATTTCGTCGAACAATCACATATTATGGAAAAATTTTTGTCCTATTTATATGAAATTTTTGGAAGTAATCTATAGGAGATATGAATATGAGAACAATAGCCAGTTCTACAATTTTTACAGGTATAAAGAAGTTGTAGAAGTGTTTCAACTTCGGTTAACGAGTTTTTATTTACAGAGTGCTGTTGAAGTGCAGTATCATCAAGCTACAAATTATTTCTCCGGCAAGTTTCAGCTTCAGAGATACTTAGTTTTCATCTTCCGATTTAAAAAGTTTTTGAGTATTAATAGCTAAGAAGAGCTTCGAATTTGTCTTAGGTTTATGTAACAACCGCTAAAGGATGCATACTGTTCAAAAGCATTCATACTGCAGTTTATCCTAACTGCTATTTATTGAGATATTAGAAAAATAAACTTCGAACGTGTGGTAGAAATGGTGTAGCAAGCTTCGGCTTCAATAAACAAAGGAAACAACAAAACCGAAAAGCGGAGTTAGCTCAGGGTACCGACATCTTGTTTTTAGAGGGGGAGGAGGATAGGAGGCAGGGTAAAGTTTTATCCGATGCTGTAAGTAACAAGATGAAATGAATTCATAAAGTTCACGGAGGGTCAAAAGTAGAGGAACACTTTTTGCTAGAAGGCTTATGCAACAAGTGGTGATTTTCAACGTCGAATTACGCGTTCTGGAAAGGATGAATTTTTACTATTCTGAGACAGCCGGGCCTCTTATTTCATGTTTCGGTTGCGGTGGATAAAGAATTATTTAAACTTGTACTCGTGTGGCCTGTTGCAGCTGAATTGTCCAAACTGCTTAGAAGTGGAGGAGAAGCAGATGGATGAAGCGAACCTAGCACTTAGGGGTACAAATACATCGTGAGAATCCCTTCAAAGTTATTCCAGCCAAAGCATCCTCGATTTGTCGCAAGGATGTTCATCCATCTAAGCAAGTGGGACACTGTACCATTTGAGATAGATCAACTGTATTTTTTATGGACAGAACGATTTTCAGTCGCTCTGACCCATGTATCTTTAGCTAATTCCTTTTATATGGCCTGAAATGGATGACATTTGGCGTATATGGATTGCTTCTACTAATCCAACTGTACACGAAAATTTGACCTTGATAGATCGTTTCTTTTTCATTCGTTCGTGTAAGTATGCTGATTGCTTTTGATGTTAACTAGTTGATCACAGCCTGCTCACTCCTCCCAAACAAATCAGCTCGTTGAGCCAAATAGGTGAATTTTTGAATCTTTTTTTGGTACGATATTTTCTCCAAAGCTGTATACTTCATGCAGTTTCTGGCCAGACTTGTAAGTTTGTCTGAATATTTGGAGTATTTAGACTAAAAGTCTGGCTCTTTCTGTAATGCACATCACGTTGGCTATATCATTTGAATGTCGTAGTGATGGTAGTCCTTTTCCTGATCGTATTATTGATTTGGTCTTGCTATTTTCTGGTAGTGTCATATTAGATATAGAGGAAGGAAGAAGTTTTAGTGTACACCTGCACTACAATAAGTTGACTAGATGTATCATTAAATCGTACGGAAAAATCTGATGATTTTCTTTAATTTTTGAAAGTTCATCTTGCTTGCATTATTGGCCGATATTGCAGTAGGAGGATATAATTTGTCGGAAAATGGTACAGGCATTGAACTGAACCAATGCCACACCTAACCCCTCATAGTAACAGCATATTCTCCCTCTCTGCTCGATTTTGATCGCAAAAGTTTGATGAAAAAACCGGCTTTTTTTGGTCGGTAGCTACTGCCATGTAAAGTAACAGTAGCAATGAGTAGGTTGCAACAGCCGCTCAGTCTCGGTGATGTTTTTGTTTTCAGGTGATATATATTTTGCACTTTTGTTTTACTCTCAGCTGAGAAGATGAACACGGGGACTTTACGATTTACTTTGTGATTTCGGTCGCACTCTTTGTATTTCATTGTTTTCATATTAGTTTTTAACCTGTCAATTGTACTTGGTAATGTCACGTTGATCTTTCTCAGTATAGACAAGTAATATTTTGCTAACGATGAGCTAACTTATTTGGGTTAGCCATACCATAGCAAGTTTCGATCCATTTGTCGAATTCTCGTCAACCTCTCTGTAGATACCGGTATTGAAAAATCCAATGAAATGTGTATTATCAATGGTTCTCAAAAAATTAATATCTTTAAAACATAGCGTCTATGTTTAAAACATAGCCTTTTAAAACAAAGCGTTTAACTGCGAGAGCCAAAGTTGAAAAATTAATATCTTTAAAACATAGCGTTTAGCTGCTAGAGCCAAAGTTCTGATTTTCCATGCCATGCTGGTATTATCATTTCTCAGATTTAGTTGATTTGGATGTTTTTGACGTATTTTTTATAAGAGGCAAAAGGGTTACGAGTTTTTACAACTGGATTGATTCCGGGTTTTAGATATTCTGGTGACTTTACAATCAAGTGTGACATATCTCGCTCGTCCTTTCATCTGGGTCTTCCAAAATTTCATATCTTCAGCAATATCAACACACACACAAATGATATTTTTTAACGTTGTTCTTATTAATATTAGTACAGATCATAGAAAGTGTACTCAAATATGTGCATATTCATCATGCCACATTTTTTGTAAATGGGTTGACATTCTTATAGGTATTTCATCGAACAAAATGAGAGATGATTTTTAAATTGGTAGAAGTCTTTGTATTTTCTATTTGTATCTTCACGGTTTGATTGATTCTGATCGATTGATTTCCACCACCGGAAATCTGACCACCAGTAGACTAATGTTACAGAATAGTTAGGTCTCTTTACGGAGCTCATATGTGGTTCTTGCGTAGTTGAGTCTCAGTGATTTTGGGCAAACCTGTTTTATATCTTCAGTAATTGCAAAATTTTCCAATGCATCTTGAACGTTTGGCTCTTTGTAACTCTGTATTCACCACTTTTCAACAGTTAAATATCGGAGAAAAATGAGACTGAGCAATGGCATTTTTTTCCTATTTATTCGAAGTTGCCATTCTTAATTTGTCTACCTATAAATCGATTAATTAAAAGATGTGGTTCAGTTGTGTATCTAAAGTGAAACTGAATTGCTTTGAAGAAACAGATAATCTCGTATTTTGAAGTCGTTCGACTTTTCTAGGCCGAGAAATGAAACAGAAGCATGATTTTAGGGTAGGATTCATCCTTACACTTTCTGTATCGATGCTTCAATATTCAGGATTAGTGGGAAAAAGATTTCTGGATAGGACAGCTATGCTCATGCAGCTTGTCTTAAGATTGCTCATGCATGCAATCACGTGACTGGATAGAATTGGATGTGATGACGATTCTTGCAAATCCCTTAGCCCTGTATTTGCCTAGGGTGTTATCGGCTTTGTTTCTATCGCTTTGCATTCTATTCAGTTTATTGCCGAACTCGATAATACATACTGCATGAGCTAATATTGGTCCCATTTGGCTGGTAATATCAACTTGTTGGCCGTGGTCTAGAATGAGGACAAACCCTGGAATTATTTTCGTTTTCTCTTCTCAATTTTAACTTGAAAAATATTTGAAATAAGAAAAATTCAATGGCTTTCTCCTCTGCTTATTAGGTATAGTTGCATTCTAAAAAAATGAAACAATGAAATGTGCATTGTCAATAGTTCCCAAAAAATTAATGTCTTTAGTAACAAACCGCATCAACGTTTAGCCAGCGAAAGTCAAGTTCTGCTTTTCGAGAATAAGGTGATTCATTTGCAGCTGGATTTTCATACTCAATAATGGATAGTATTTCTTAACCAGGTAAATTATCAAAGATCTTCTAGTGGATTGAATTTACGAGAGATGTAAAGAAGTTGGAGAAGGGAAAATTGGAGAAGAGGCAAGGTAAGTGTAAAAAAATCCCTCGGTTTGCATTGTTGGCCTAAAATCATGCAATGAATGTTTCATATGCATAGAACAGGGCCGAACTGCTTGCTTGTTGGCTTTCGTCCTTCTAACAATGCAATACTGCAGTCATCAGTTAAAACATGAAAGACTTACAGCTGCAGCAAAACTGCTCCTTAATCTTTCGAGCAGTAATACTCCTCTTGGCCATTTCCCTGAACTTCGTTATGTAGAAAATGATATAAGGCAGTACTCAATACATCCGTACTGGCCAAAGGAAATGGCTCATTATTACCCATTAAATCGACGTCATGCACATCATATTGAAAGCATAGGTATTTGCAACTCCATTCACTGTGAGAATCAATTTTTATGCCCTTAAATGCTAGCGGCCATTGCAGCATCAAACTAAAAATCGATGGAGTGAGATGTGCAGAATATGTGCTAATCACAATAGCACTTTGAAACTGGTAGAGATGGTGATTGTAATATTTCTGATAATGGTTGAGGTAGTAAGTTAAGTGATTACTAATGTCGAAATTACAAAGCTGATAAAGCGTTAACAAAGTGGCTTTTTTTTAATGAAGTGGTAGCCATAATGAAGACATTATTTATAACGACCGCATTAATACCAGTGTGGGGAAATAAGGTAATTGGAAAGCTTCATTTAATAGTTCTTGACCTCTTAACTCTTCATTTAAATGTTCATAAATATGGCTAGTTCAAGAGAAGTGTTCACCCCAAATTCAAATTCACAGTACGATTTGTTGAAGGATTTTATAAAAGAGACGTAGGGATGCACCTTTTTTTCATAGATTTCATATTAGATTGTCGTATGGAATCAGAAACCATTTCTTCGATTAAATTAATTCATATAGAAGTGATCTATAAGTGGCATGTGAGAAGCTTTGTTGTTGGCTTAATTGGTGTGGAATTATATCACTCTCGAATAGTCTTTGTGAAGATAACTTTATCATTTGGAATTACACTTCGGTGACAGAAGCAGCACTTCGCATTGCGCTATACTTTTCGTTCCCTTGGTGATGTGACTGATTCTCAGTGGATTTTATTCTCATTATTGCTGTTTTCTACTGATACTTCCATACACTTCTCTTATGAACCAACCTCGACGTTGAAAGTATAGTTATTCTTCATTAGTACGTGCCATGCTTCACTCTATATCACCTTGACCAATGTACCAAAGGGGAATATTAATGTACTTGAAATTGAATAAACTGAACAAAGTTCCCCAATTTTTTAAAAGGATATCGAGAGTGAATGTAATTTCTGTGTAGTGTGTTACGACTGGTTAGGTCACTTAAGCTCAGTATTTGGTTCCCATACTCCGTTTGAGGGACGAAGTGTTAGAGAATGTTCAGATGTGGAATTGGGGCACTCATAACTTCTCCCTAAGTTGGTGGATTATTTCATCTACTACACTTGCAAACGAGCCGCACAGCTTCTAAGATCAAGATTTCGATGGATAAAGCTGTGATGAACCATAATGAAAAAATGATGGAGTTACAAAAACCATGAAAACGTGGCTTTGCGGGAGAGCAGTGAATCATAAACCCGCTATTTCTTTTCATGTTCTTCTTCATGAACAGTTAAATTTTCTACCACATTCAAACTTTTCACTTCATTTTTTCGCAGTTTTCGAGCTAGTTTTTATAAGTTTCTTCTTACCAAATTATACTGGATTATTATTGAGTACAGTTTCTGTTTATTAATATTTTAGTTTTGCAATATGTGCTTACGAGGCTCTTACATTACATCTTGCCTTTTTCGCAAATGCAGTATTTACGCTTTTGCTAAATTCATTGTGTATTTCGTACCTCTTTTTTGAAGGGCATTGCAGACGAAAATACAAAAAGAATCTGCACTTTCTATGAGGGCCTGTCATAAAATAGCATTTTCGAGAAGTAGAAAAGTCCGTCAGAAGGAAGTTGCTGCCAGTTGGCCACTAACGAATATTTCCCAATTATTTTTGATTGTCGACACGACTGTGATGAAAAACAGGTTATCATAATGGGAAGTATTACTGTTCCTATTTCACTTTTTTTCTTTTTCTCTTTAGTCGGATAGTCTACATTGTACGCAATATGACATATAATAGCAGGCAAGGTCAAGTAGCTGTTCAAAAGGATGATTACAGTGTCAGACGCTTTTGTTTTATTGGTTGATAAGGCTGTCGACCAATATCATATGTTGCATGGACACGCAAAACATAAACCAAATATATTTTTGATTATCGGAAATACTTTTCGAAAGCGACATATTTCAAACTTAGATCAAAAATACAAGTACTATGCTTAAATAGATTTGTCTTGTAATACTCGACAAATACACGCATTACCTGTGTACTGTGTAACAAAATTATTTTTAGCCGGAGTCAGAGTTCTTCTGTATATTGACTTTCATATTGACGTCTATATCTCTGTCGAAGCGAAATAAATGTAGTTATCGCAGTTATGAATTTCACTCATCATCAAGTCAACATCTGTGTTAATTTGAACTGGTCTCCTTTTTTTGAAATTTTTTTTGTTTCGTTTGTTGCTTCGTAGAGATTAATCGTTATATGATAAGATATGCTCTTAAATTTCAGCATTTCATCTTAGCATTCCTGATGGAAATAAAGTTCGGCAACAGGTGAGTGAGATTTTGAAGTGAAGGAAGTTCACGCCTTGTTTTAACAATTTAGTCATTGGGATGGCTTGTCGTCCGATGTACACCCTTGTCTCCAGTAAAAGGTTGCACTAACGAAGAAGCAAAATGTAAGAGAGGATTTATTTTGAGAATGGAATGAGGAGTTGGTGCTTTGCTGCAAAGAAGAGGCTAATGGATGGAAGGACATGATGTCAAGGAATGCTCGGTCTGGCTTCCATCGTTCGCACACACACACACATATATATATATATATATGTATATATATATATATATTCTACACGGGATATCTCGCGGAGTCGTTTCCATTTAAATTGAACAATTTCAACGAGGTGTGCATGCCAATGTCAGTGAGTCAGCGAGTTAGTCAGTCAGTCAGTCATCCAGTCAGCTGATGGGAAGCAGGCGAGGAGGGTATTGCTTGTTAGCTGCCTTCTGTCATTCTCTGCTACTTCTGACGTGTGGCTGGCTCATACGTTGTTACCTGTCATCATCGACACTATCGTCACCATCAAGACGTCGTCACTCGAATCTGATGGGCTTCAGACCGGTTCTTCTTCCCCTTCGCTTCCATCGGAGTAGCGCACATATGTTTGTTTGTCCATACCGACTCTC